GGTCGAAAGCAGCGAGCGTCGGAAATAGCGATAAGCGTCGGGGGAAAAAAAGCGATAAAAGCGGGAGGTTGGGCGGAATGAGTACTGTATGGTGTTGGTGAAATCTGAATTTTGTTTTATCATAAGTTTTATCATAAGTTTTATCATAAGTGCTTTTAATTCACTTTATAGAGGATGCTGCAGCTGTGGAAGATAATGGCATACCAGTATGTCTTGACACTGAATTGCTTGTCCAGGATCCAGATGCATTGAATAAATATGTTAATTCTCATCTGTGCCCTACTGAGGAGGAAGACTATCGTTGCAATCAGGCTGTTATGCATTTAACAAGTATCATTGAATCTAACAGTGGGCTAAAACTAAAGTACTTTCTCAAGGTTGGTGTATTTCTGCTCAGCAGTTTGTTTCATGGTTGCTCTGGTCATAACCAATTTTGGGTACTTCATAAAGTGGTTAAACATACAGCAGTTTAGAAGTCACTGTAATTTAGGTGTTTAGTAAGAGTCAAAAGCCATCATTTGATTCTAAGTTAGTGACTACCGGATTCTGCCGTAAATTCGCCCTGGGAAGTTTCACGGCTGGTGGGCCCTTATTTGGGGTTCAAATTTTCAAAAAATGATCATCAAATATTTGTAGGGGGCTATATTTTCATTGAAAAATCCACCTACGCCGATTTGCAACACCGGCAGTTGGATCACCCAAAATGAAAGAAACTATTGCAGAAGCTAATCTAAAATTGTATACATTTTTAGCTCTCGTGAAACGGAGCTTATGTGGTACCAGTGTCTGTGAGTCTGACTAAAATTTGTTTCACTGATAACTCAAGATCTACAATTTCAATTCAAATGAAATTTGGCACACAGCTAATATATGATGAGTAGATGCGCTGATTAGATTTTGGTGCAATTTCATGCATATTAATTAGTCAATTATTGCATTAGTTAATTTATAACTTAGAGTCTTTAAAGTTTCTTAACAAATATTTGACTAGGGTGAGTTGTCTAATTTGCATATTGCAATAACGTATTCTGTCGCAAAAAAAAAACTAGTAATATTTCATTGGAAGGTCTGCGAACTTTAGTATATAATGATTTATTATATCATGATTGATGTTATTTGAGCAGATACTGCAACTAAAAACATCAAATGTATGTGAATATGGGAGTACGCATGCGCAGTTACAAGAATGTCGCGGCCATTTTTTCAGTTTGACGAAAAAGCAGTACCCTTTCTGATTTTCATGAACGCAAGTTCAATTTCACTTTGTGCGTCATATTCATCAATGGACAAAATCAAAAACAGATGCCGTACAACTTTCTGCCAATCTTGATTCGTAAATGTGCTGATTGCATGTACAATCTGCGGATACTTCGGCCTACTTTCAAGCATGAATATAGAAGGAAATCAACGATTTTTTTTCAGTATCGTTCCAGACTTTGCCAGAAATTTATATAATAATCGCAGTGATCACTACTATTGGGTTCAAAAATGATTTATGATCATTCAAAAATAGTGGCCATGGCTGTCTGTTCAACCAAGTACTGACTTTCACCGCTATTGCGACGCCACGAGCAGAGAAAATGAAAGCTGAATCCCCGCGTCTAAACTTAATCCATGTATAAGGCAGACTCCCAGTGTCTTCTCCTCGAGCAGACAGTAATGTTTCACATTTGTTTTTGCATGGTTTCCATCTTACTCGAATAAAACAAAGCAGTTGATTCCTATTTTACTTAGTGTTTATTCTTGTTTGATATTTTTAAACAAAAATGCACTCATTAAACAAATAGTAAATATGCAAGTTTTTTGTTTTTGCCGAACGAGGACAAGGAAGACAAAATTAGTTTTGTGTAGGGTCGATCACGATCTTCGGTTTGTATCAAAAGCACGTCTCACAAATGAAACATTTTTTTTTCGAGCGATAATTTGATAGCAATTAAACAAATTTCAATTGTTGGCGTGTGTAAGGGCTGGATCACTTACTTTCAACGGCTCAAAGTCCGGACGAACATTAAACTACGATGTTTTTATTTATCTGTTCTAGGTATGTTGTACAGACTTTTTATTTGTACTATTTTGATGATTTAATTTCAAGAGTCTGTCAAGGAAACAATCTGTTGTTACTTTACATGTTCACGTAGGTTTAATTTAACAGATTTTACTTGTCAGCGAAAATAGCGAAATTTGCCCATTGCGTCAGGAAGATCTATCCTGATTTGCTGCACTGAGGTTAATTGCGTTTTTTTACTACTCCATCGCTAATGACACTAATTACTAAGAATTAAAAAAAAAAAACAAGTGCAATTAAGTCGCATTGGGGAAAAAAACCCATAAGAAAATCAAAGCAAAAATTATTCAGACGAGACAAACCCCGACCTCTAGAAATACCTCATTCATAGAGTGCCTCATTAGTGCCCTTTGTTTACAAGTATAGTGTCCTTGCATGTTTTTCAAAATGCCCATATCAAAATCATATGTTTCCATATACAGTATGTCGTAGATTTTCAGACATCTTGATCAATTTTATTGATGGATTGATCTACATGCAATTACATTCACTTATTAGGCAAAGCCTATACCTTTATAATACATGCTCTGATCACACAGGAGCTATTTACAGTTTAACTTTAATTTCTAGCTGGATTAAAATGTAGACCGTGCACCTTTCTCGAAAAAAAAACCCACACTAATGAACCTTGTGAACCAAATACAATTTTGTTTCATTTTATTAGTAACAAAAGTATATTCTAAACAAAAGAAGTGTCAAATAACAACAAACACAACTGCTTTGCTTAGTAGCAAATTATCGTGGTAGTGCAATTTTACAATTGTTGATTATTACCTAGTAATGATTATAATAACGTGCAAAAAATAAATTCGTTGAATTGTTATATAATGCAAATAAATTTCAACTTATTTCATCGTAAGCGAACGATTCCGATCGCATTTTTAAAGCTCGACGCTGTGGAAATGGATATCCGCCATGTTTGACCTGAGATGGTGTTCATTGACCTGACAGGTCAAATAGATAATTAACCAATGAAAATGATGGATGATGCTAACGTGTTCAAATTACCATAGCACATTTAAATATGTTAATGTTATTTAGCTCAGCACGGAAGAGATTTGCCAATGTCTTGTTCGATCTTTTGGCATGATTTGTTTTTAAATAAAAAAATTAGTTGTTTAAAAGATAAACAGAGCATTTGAAGAATAATTTAACATTATTTACAGCGATAACAGCTCATTGTCGAAACAAAGCAAACCTATTCACGCTAGTCGCAATGAACATCAATATTCTTGAATTAGGCATCAATGACTATGGCTAAACATTTAGGCATCAAAAAAGATTAAAATAACACCTTAAAAAACTGCTGAAAAATCGCCCTGGGCGGTTTCTCGGCCCCATTTTATTTTTTTCAAAACCTGAACTGCCGTTAACGGCCCTAGGCGAATTTACTGCAGAATCCGGTACAATATAAAGCCTACAACTTAACTTGCAATGTTTTATGGCTACACAAAAAAATATATAGTACTATCTTATAACCTTTTAAAAAGTTCTAATCACCTCTTCAAAAACAATAAACAATCTGTCGATGAAAGGGAGAATAATCCACTCTTATTTCCCTAATTATTACTGTGATATTCAATTGTATTATTGATTCAATATTATTCAATTGTGTTTCAGAGCTTTCTTGAATTTCTTATATTGTTATTGTGTTTATTCAATTCAATCATCTTTATTACATGTTTACCTCGAAGAGAACTAGCACAAATAACGATAGCAGACTCCATTTGAAATGCTATTTTCTTATTAGCCAATCATAGATCATAGCACTATGAACCAATCAGCACCAAGCCCACTAAAATTTGTTACAATGGCTGAATTTTACCTTACAAATGCATTATGTGTTTGCAAATATTCAGAATCTTTCATCGTACTACATAATATTCTGAATGGTTAAAGGCCTGATGCATATCGATCAAGTGTTATTTTTTACAACCAAAAAGAAAACATTTTTTTGGAATCAAGCTATGACTGAATGATAAATAATGCTGTTAGAACTTCAGAAAAGTCATTTTTTGTGTGTGTAAGACTGGTAGTAATTGATGAATGTTTGCAAGATGTTCGGATTATTCCAATATCATTAACACCATGTACAACTGAGGTTTAACAAATTTAGGAGAAAACAGTACAAGTTTGTGATCAGTCAAAATTTTAGAAGTCAATAATTTGATTAAATTACAGCATTTCTGCTCATAGTGCAGATGTTTTTGGTTGCATGCAAACCCTGTGGCGGTATTTTAGTCTGAAACCGAGGACTATTATTTTAGGGTCTGTTCTTTCCATCTGGCCTGAGCAGACATACTTTGACCATTCTCATTCAAACCTGACTCAAAAGCCAGCTGGGTATGGTGATTTGGCACATCGATTGTTTTCACCATTTGGCAGCCATTTTAGTCCTCAAATATACTAAATTCTTACGTTTCCAAATGGTAATTTTAATTTTTTTTTATCCCTATCAAGTTATTGGTTTGCAGGTTCATGTTATATTTTTTGAGATTTGAAGAAAATGGCCAGATGGTAGCCACTTTGTATTTTATTCTTGTTCATTGGAATTCTTCACTGAGGCTTGTGTACATGTGAACCACTATTCAAATATTGACATTAAATTTTAATCTATTGGTCCACAGGAACTGTAAAGATGTATCTAAATTACAAGTTACAAGTACATGTTACACTGACTTAGCTTTTTGTTTTTTCACAGGGTGGACCTTTTGGCCGTGGAACTAATCTGAAAGGCACATCAGATGTCAAATTGATCCTTTTTTTGGAGGAATATTCTAACCTTGGAGAATTCAAGGAAGGCATGACTAAGATACTTCAGAACATTAAAAGTTCACTAACTGCCACTGATGATGCTAATTTAGAAGTAATTGAAGAAATGCCAACAAGTTTGAAAGTACAAATAAAGAATTCCACAGATGGTGATGTAGGTCAAGTTGAACTTATTCCAGCCTTTGATGTGCTGGGAAAAGAGCCTACTAAAGGTATATGTTAAACTAGATTAGATCACTAACCTCTTTTCCACATTGTTTCATGTGGCCAGTCTGAAACATTGCACTATTGCATCAAGAAATGTATGATATATTAGCTCCGCTATTCACTTTGTCGATAGGAGCTTGTCATATTACTGATTGTTTGTTGCTTTGATAGTTGGTGTATACATTTGTACATGTGTATGTACCTTGGTAGTTTTTCTCAGATTTGTTTATTTCATGATGTTATCTTTTGTTCTCTAATTTTGATTATTAATTATTATTCAGATAAGTACCTCAGGTGGACTTGTCTAATATTTGTTAGTCCCTGTTGAGACGCAGTTCGAAAACTGGGTCTTATGGATTGATCTCTGTGTGTGTATCTGGAATTATACAGTATAGTTCTCGCGGAAGCTTTGGCTTCACTTCAGCTTCACCTTCGCTTCAGCATCGCATCATTATGGCATTGTTATGGCTTCAGCATCGCTTTAACGTCGCGACATTAAAAAGTTAGGCGGTTATCGCTTCGCTTCATTGTGGCCTCATTATGGCGACAATGTGGCATCTGCATCGCTTCATCAAACAAAGAAGTACAGAACTCATTTCGCCCAACCTCTCGCCTGCTTCCGCGACCGCTTGTTGAATTTCCGCTTTATTTTCGACTGTGCAAAAATTCGGACTACTAACAAGGCCCCTATTCTTATTGTCCGTTTTTTTCTTCTTTCTTCTTTCTTTCTTCTTCTTTCTTCCGTAACTTTTTTCGTCAAGCCGTTTGAGAAAAACTCTTAACGGAATGGTCTAATAATGCTCTTTACTGATAGTCCCTAATGTGAACTGGTGCAACATGCTTTCAGAATTTCGATTGGTCAATTAGTTTGGCGGCCATTTTTGATTGAAATAAAACCGGAAGTGGCTGTTTGACCACTTTCTGAGGGTCTAGGCGTCTAGATTTTTGTATGATATATAGTACAACTCATGTGTAATAGATATCAGCAATAAAAACCTTAGCGGTCATGTGACTTTTCCCGCCATTTTGTTTTTCCTAAAAACGGCAAAAAACACTTACAAATCTTCTTCTTCAGAACAACCAAGCAGAATGCTCTCATATGTAGTATTTAGCTTCTATGTATGAAGCTCATTTACGTTAGATAAAATTGTTATGATTGGTCACATGGTTTGGCC